TCTGTGCTTCTCGCCAGACCTTTCATGCCTGCATATCCAATAACTCAAGACAAGAAAAATCGGGTTTACGCTTCACTTGCATTTATAACAGCATTGGGCAAAAATTGGTCACAGTTGGTGAATGGGGAAGGTGTCGGTGCTCACCAAGTTACACGTTAGCATACGGTTAACCGCGTCTGGATAACGAAGAAAGTTCATGCTTACGTAACAATACCAACTCCTCGCAAGTGTGCAAATAAAATATACGAAGCTGTTTTTTGGTCCCACTAATTAAATGGAACATTATTTAATCCGCGTCTAACAGAATGAACGATTCCAAGGCAGTTCAACGGAAGAAGACTAAGCAAGCTTAACAAGCGTTGTGGTTTGTACCTTTGGTGAAGTAGAGAGACGTTGCGCAGCTGAATTAATTGCATCAGTATCAACTTTATCATCGGGTACAGTGGATAGGAAACAACACTTCTGAATGTTTCAGTGAGGGGGCCGTGATAGTAAGAGACAGTAATAAGGCCAATTTCGACCGCAAATACTCATAATATTATCAGGAAGACGTAAATCGTACACAACTGAAAACAGTAGTATGCATGTCCTGCAGTTGGTTTGAGTTATTCAGTTTAACTAAAGTCCCAAACGCAGTCGATAATTCTCATCTGCTGTTGAGCAGAACGATAGTGGGCGGAATCGCATCCTTTCAACTAGATCCCGTAGCAATGCATGCATAGGGGATAATGTTTGTTAACCTCCATCTTTCAAAGGGACCTATGTGCAGCCATCCTCTCAGCCTGATAGAGAATGTCTTGGGATTTTTGACCGGGTCAATATTTGGGAATAACTTAGCTGAGAGCTCCCTTACTTAAATGAAGGCCTCTTTCACTACACATGAAGGGTACAAATCCGATTGTATGCAACTTTTCACTCCACACTGTGCACTGAAGATGTATTGTGTTTCAGAGCGAAATTCGGAGGAGTGCACTCGGGTGCAGCAAAAGAACTCAGATTGCCCGTGTAATATTCCTATAATTTCGTCGCACCCTACGTGCATAGATTTGTGAACAATACATTTACGCTAAGTCGATTATGAAACGTATCCACGTTATCTGACTGATTGAAGCTTATGTGCTCACCAAATGGAAAAAATTGCGGCTGTGGTGTGATTTTCATCACCTTTATTTTCATCTGCTGGGGAGAACCGATCTATCACCTAGGTGGAAGTTTTGAATTTACTGAAGTCCCTTAAATCTAACAAGGCACATGGCCCTGATTCATTATCCCCCGTTCTGCTGCAAGAGTGTGTTGAACAACTTGATTCACCTATTTTCGAGTTATTCAATTTGTGTATGTCATCTGGAAGCATCCCTAAGTACTGAAGAGCTGCTTGGATAACATCAATTCCCCCCAAAAGAATCTTCCAAATACAGGTAGATTGCTTGCACATCAGCATTATTTAAAATTTTCGAAACAGTTCTTCTTAACCGGATTACCCTTTGATCTGTTATCCATGCCGCTATTCAGTTTGCCTACAAACCTTCGCTTTTCACTCTTGCTGGTGTTGCTCACATTGTTCACTCCGTTTCCTCCTCATTGGATAAAGGATCTGGTACCGTCCGTTTGATTTTTCTTGATCATTCTAATGCTTCCGGATCACCTGACTGCGGCATTCTCATTCAACGGCTTTCGGATTGCTGTATGGGACTTGATGTGTTGAATGTATTAATCAGTTAATTCTCACATAGAACGCAATTCACTTTTTTAACAGTAAATCTTCCCCTCTGCTAGAAATGAACTATAGGGGCTTTTGAGGGGGCTATTTTGTCTCCATTCTCTTTTGTCATTGAACATCGACAACCTTCACGTCACTTTATCGCGTGCAACTATGTTGATGACGTAGTGGTTGGTTGTCCCTTCATAAGTTCTTACTGTCTCCGCCAACTTCCAGATTGTCTACTCCCCCACCTATGGTGCTCGATAACAATAAATGTTGGGATGTTATTTTTAGCCTTTAAACATGCACGCGTTATCAGACCCTTTTTCATAACCAACCTAAACTTGGAGTTAACGGTATTATCATCCCCAAAACTGGCTCTGTCAATTATCTTGGAGTTACTTAGTCACCTGATGTTTCTTATTCCAAACATGTTGAAAACATACATTGGTGTTCATGGCTTATCGTTTTACTCTCTGAAACCTCAAAATCTCGGCGTTCACCTGAATACAATTCTTTAATGTGTGACTGCCTGCTTTCTTCTACGGTGGTTGTACTGTTCCCCCTTATATTTTCTTTGGGCTAAAGGAGAAAGACCCTGTTCCCTTTTCCAGGTCTCTGAACGTCTTTCCCGTTGCAGTGGCATTTCAAGGACTATTGTGGTTGAATCTATTGTTAGGAAGCATTTTGATTCCTGAGATAGATTTATCAGACATATACTGTCAAATGAAGAACACTGCCTGCAGCTCGAAAAATGTCTTGTATCCGGGTACGCTCTCCAAATTTCGGATTCTTCATGCACGTACCACCACATACCAAAACGTAATCATCCCTTATTTCGTAATATAAGAAACCAAGCAAACATCATTACTGACTTGGAAAATCATCTGTCACATTAGAGTTTTGTCTCAACCATTTTTTTCATTTGGTAAATGTATATTCTTTTTTCAATACCTAACGTTTTTCTTACTGTAACTTGTCGGAGGTGCAAACTTCATCCTATTGAATGAATACCGCTTAATTTGACATGACTCACCCTGAGAAATTCGGCTGTACTTGATGTGTAGCTACCCAACAGAACGAGTGAAAAGCTAGAGAGAGCTCTTGTTTTGAATGATAATAGAGAGAAAGAATGTATTACTGCGCAAATGCGGTCTAGTTCGAGCTCTGAAGCAGATACCTGTGGCAAGGCATCAGACGTCTCTGTGGAAGGAAGAAAGTACGGTCGAATCTGGATGTGGATATTGATTATCTCAATACGGCATCCCCATGCCAGTCAACGGACATTCTTTCAACCTACTCGTCACGCAGTGTTGGGAATGTGCAACCATTCTCAAATTTAGATGTGTTAAAACTTTTAAATAGTTGCAATTTTTCTTATGCTGCAGGCCCGGATGACTCACTTCCAGTCCTCTTCGAATTTGGTGCTACTTCCCTAGCTGGGGAAATCACCTCCGTTGTAAATGAATCTCTTTACAATTCTAATATCCTCATCTGTTGAAGGTCGTTCACAAACATACCAATCCCCGAAGCATCCTAATCGTCTATCCTTTCCAAACGTTTTCGTCCCATGTCGTTAACATCATCAGCTCTTAAGTTGACTGAAAAGGCTATCCTCACAAGCGTTTAACCGTCCCCAAAGATCCTTTCCAGTTTGCTTGCAAGTTCACCCAACGGATCCACTTTAACCTCTGTCTCCAACGTTATTCATTTTATTACTAAGTAATTGATAATCTCCGTTAAATTTGTTCCGTGTGTTTTTATTGACTTCTCCTCAGAATGTGATTCCATTCTTCCATTAGGGTTACAAAAGCCGGAATCATTTAAATGTCCCAAGGAATTGTTAGTCTGGTTATTCAACTAGTTTACTGATAGAGTACAAAAGACAAGATTAAGGACGGCTTGATCCGAACCCTTAATCGATAACTCTGGAGTTTTTTTAATAAACCGTGCTATTCTTATGCTTATTTTCCACTTATATTTGTGATATTCCTTGAGACTCATCTGGACGTATTTTGAAATATGCAGATGATGTGCTTTGTCAACCCATTGGTGCCAACACCAATCCAAGCTCATTCACTGACAATCTCGATCAAATTCAGTCATTCTCCTCCTCCTCAGGGCTAGCCTTGAACCCCAGTAAATGTGTTGATCGTTTATATAGTTTTACTAGCACTCCTTATCCGACAGCCCCCACAGTGATAAATAACAATCCTTCATCCAGGGTTTACTCTGTCAAATATCTTGGTGTAACCATAGCAATGTTCATTGGTCAACCCACATCCACAACTGCATTGGTAAACTGCGGCGCCTTTCCTTTCAAATACGATATCTGAGGCAATTTCGCGCGTCCCAGGCGGTTATTTCTACCTTGGTTTATCAGTGCGTTTTCTCCCATCTTACTCTGATATTCCACAGTCATTTTTCCTGTCCTACTCAAACAGGATTTCAAAGTCTAATGCCGCGGTCTAATTTTTATTAGCCGAGTTTCTTTCATTCCTATATAACTTTCTGTGTGAAATTATAAAATGTCCCTGTACTGCCTGTAAACATTCTCTTCCCGTCGAATATGTTCTTTTTGCGGTTGGTGTGATTGGTTTTTCAACTGAAATGCAAGCTTCAGTACTTGCAAAAGTTATACACAATACAATGCACAAAATACCAACAGGCGCATCGACCAAGGGCTGATGTATTCGTGGGACAACCATTTAGACTGCTGGTTTTTTATTCTGATTGTTCAAGATCAAACAGCTGAAACAACAACAACAACAACTGAAGTGATTCGTTTTTGGCTTGTATAAATATGTGATGATTCCTACGGGCTGCTCAACTGACTGGAGTATATAAATGATCCACAGCGAACATAGAGTAGGAAGAATCCTAATTTACTCAAGTCAGTGGTTAATCGGAACATGTGATTCGCTCGACGAATTGAAAAGATAACAGTAAGAAAAAAGGCAACGCTATTTACTATATTTTTGTAGTGGAATTATTACAAAGAATCTTATTGAGCACGATTTATAATACCCTCAACCGCCCATGTGGTGTTCACATTTGAACCCATTGTCTGTTGGCAGCGAAAAGATGAAACGCCCAATTGTGCCGTCTCTAAATTTTTGTATTCATTTTTTTGTTTCCAAACATAACTTGCACTGAATGCGCATTTGCACCGAAGGATATATTATTGAATCCCAGTGTACCTTAATGCTTGAACAATCAAGTCACTTGCAGGCACATTTGTTGTATGCTTTCAAATTGCTATTCAAAACTGAATACGCAAAGGTAAAGCTATCGTGGGTCACCCATGTTCTGTAAAGCTTCCGGTACCTTGGAATCCATCCTCCAGCTCTGAGACGTACAAAGGCCACATGTTTTGTGATTCACACGACTGCCGCTCGAGAAAAATTCGGATATCATAGTTAATACAATGTGCCAATTGTTCTCCTGTAGCAAATGAGTAAATTTACTGATGTGAAGTGTTTCATTAAGGCAGGCATTGTTTTCCGGGCACATGAAAGTTTGATTTGAACTGACTATGCTTCGGACTTCACCTTCACTTGGTGGGAGGCTGTCGATCGGAGTTAACAGATTATCTGTGTCACTCTTCTTTGCTGTCGGGCCAAATGAACTGACTATCACTGAAAACGACACATGAACAAACATGAATTAGCAATTTGGTTCAGCCATGGTTTGAGCTGGTTGGTACAGTGGTAACCCACAAACCTTCCATTTGATGGGTTCGGAGTTCAAATCCCGGATGGGACGGTGGATATGCACTACTGATGAGCTCTAATAAGAGGAAAACTCGAGTCTAGTGCTTCGGAATGTGTGGTTGAATCGATGAACTAAGGATGGTGTGTGAAGGCAAAGTCCGAACGACAGTCAGTTCACCTCAATCAATATCAATTATCCCACACCACTACTCATAAGGAACTGTGAGCTAAATGTGAATAAATGAAAGTTTGCTTTGAGCGCTGCAGTAAGGTTTATTTCCTTTTTGCACTATTTTCGTGAAGATACCAAATTAAGTGAATTTAACAATATGGGGCTTTGTGTCCACAGAAAGTTTTGAGCCAGATTTGTTTCATTTCATCGCTTATATATTCTCAGAGGTGATGAAGACACATTGAAGACACGACATTGTTTCTCTTTCATCGTCGTGATAGACTGATAGCAATGCAATTATTCTACGTTGATCGAATAAATGTGCACTGGCAAATTTAGAGATATGTGGTTACCTGGTGAAAATTGGTTATCACGTCTGATTATATTTTGGACTGCGTATTGCTGTAAACTTTGGGAGAGAAGATCCCGATGTGTAATCTCCAGGAATAGCTGGACAATTTTGATGCAGCAATGGCAATCGTGCTCTGGGATTTGCTCTGAATTTGCATTTGTTCTGAATTGTTCCCAATATTATTCTCTCTATTAGGGTGCTCGTGGTATGTCTAATGTTCGACTTTAACCATTGTTGATATGGTTTCATTCATGGGAACCATTACCTTAATCTACTGAATCGTTTGTTAGCAAACTTGAAACCTTTTGACAAATTTACATTGTCGTTCCCAAGGTGTATCATAAATGTTTCTATCTCTTCCTACAGATATTTCTATCTCGAATTTAACAAGTTGCTGCACAATTATTATTTGGATGCGACACCCATAATCTCAATCAGCTGATCGATCTGCCACTGATAACTGCACAATTCCATAACTTACTTTCGGTACTAATTATTCATGCCATTATGGGTGAGTTGGATAATAAAAAATGAGATGGCAGCTCTGTACTCTCCCACTCAACCCGATAAAGCATCAATTAGATTGGCCCTCATTCAAAGCACACGGCATGTTCTATCTTCAATGCACCCAGTTACCCGTAAATGGAAGAAGCAGCATTGATTTGGATTTTGCTTTCGCTGGAGCTTCCAAACTGTACATGACCATCAGACCGTCAAGAGTATTTAAACTTCGGAGCTCTCGGGGGGATGGTATGCACGTCTGCGTTGCACGAGAGCATAGTTGATTGGATGAACTGGAATGAAGCCGGTACAATAATCAGTCAATTCAATAAGATTTATCTGACTACACTATTCACAAGCGGATGTGACTTCAGTGTGTAGCTCGTCAGCTAATATAATAAGTGAATGAGTTTGCAATATATGATTTGCTGAACGGAAGTCTAAACACATTCACAAGAAGTGGCACTTCTGTAGACATTCAATATTACGAAATCCAAACGAAAATGAGATTGATACCAATCGGAAGTCAAATGATGTTATTCGTACGTGACAAAGAATGCGGAAACGTTGAGAGTGGGCACCGCCTTATTTACTATCGTATCCTTCGTACCGATATTGTGAAGACATTTGGTCCGGGTATGAACATGGGTTGTGTAGATCCTTTAAGTTGGTTTACGTCTTTATGAATATGGAACCTACAAATGCGCCATAATGAGCTTATAAATCGTCCAGTAAGGAAAATTACCTGTAAGCGGTTCCAGAATTTTCCTAATTTGAGCCCCAATTCTCCTCTTCCTGTAAATCAGTTGGAAGAACAGAGTGCAACGCACATTGCGGTCGAATGATTTTTTATCACAAATATATCATGATCATTAGCACAACAGAAAACTATACACATCGAGTATGTACAAGATTCGAACCATATTCGAAGTATTCTTTTCGTGTGACCCATAACGGTTTAAAAGCGTCCAATGAGGCCAATATGGATCCACCAAGCCACACGGTGTGCTGCCGATTGGACGGAGCGCTCACATTCACC